GGGGCTGGCCAACTCAGGGGAGGGACCGCAGGAAGTTAGCCAGCTGGGGGGCGGGACCACAGGAGGTTGGCCAGCAGGGGGGAGGGGCCGTGGGAGGTTGGCTGTGTGAGTGCACTGACCACCAGGGGGCGGCTCCTGCATTGAGCTGATGGTCAGTGCATGTCATAGCAACTGGTTGACCAGTCATTCCAGTCGTTCGGTGGTAACAGTCGCTTAGGCTTTTATATAGAGAGATTATAATTATGCTTCTATTGCTCAAAGCACTTATGTTTCTCTTCATTAGGAAATGTCTTTAAAGTCTGCAATAATAATAATATTGAATGTCAACTGTAATTGAAAAATAAAATCTAAAAATAAAATAAAATTTGCAATGTGGTTTTTGAATGATAACACTTAAACTTAAGTAGCACTTGGCTGTTAACAAAGCAAATTATGATGAAAAATCTTTATACTTTCAGAATGCATTAAATTTTGAGATAGGGTCAAAAGTCATTTTAGAAGCAAGTTCAAGTGACCAGTCTTGGGTAATATGACTTTTAATGAAAAGAAATTTGCATACTGTTTTTAAAGGTAATTCCATAACAAAAATGTAAAAACACTTTGATCAAGGGCAGAATGTTTAGAGTAAGAGTTTGGTTTCTATCGGTAGCTATTTTGACCCACCACATCCATTCTGGTGTATAAATTCTAGCATATTTGTTTTAAAATCTCTCATTGCTTTGTGTCTAATAATTACAAAAGTATCTTAAGTTTTCTTAACATTAATCTGAGACAATATGCATTTCTTTACTGAATTCTATCTTAGATCCTAACATTGACTCTTTGGTCTTACTTGAGACTTATCTGAGAGTTTATTGGAATCCCCTATATCCAATCATGTAAGAGATCGGTTGCATTGTATACTTGGATTTTGTGGGGCTCTAGTAATTCCTCAGGTATACTGCTAACATTTATAAGCCGGTATGGACACCATGACCAAAATTCAAGCTGTATCATCTGACCATGGTCTGATACACAATCTCTCAACTGAACAGGATATGAGAAATTCAGGGCATGAGGGGAAAGACAGAGAACAAGCTGAATAAATATCTTAAAAGATATCAGAAAATGTAGTTTTGGAAAATTGTTCAAAATTTGTCTGTTGGTACACATTTGCAAATCAATTCAATTGGTATACAAATCTATGCCAACATATAATTTCTAGTTTAAAAACATCTTCATCGTTTATAAAATCTTTAAGTTAATGTACTTGTTTTCCATGATATTCATAAGCTATTTTAATTTTTGCATGAAATTTTCTTTTTGATTGTTTATAAACATATTTATATACACACATATATGTATATATATCAGCATTATGATACTTTCGATGTCCCTCAAATTTGTACTTGATATGAAACCCATGCAAAATTAAGTACTTAATTTTCCCCAAAAGTTTATTAGCTTTCCAACAACAAACCCTAAACAATGAAAGATATTTAATATAACCTCTAACCCAGACCATAACAGCTTTACACTTTTATGACACTGAAACTGAAGGGACCATATTCAGACAGTTAAATTCTAAGTCGTTTAACAACATATGATATAAACACATGACTTTTTCCTTATTTATCTGATAGGCCATGTCAGAGGAGATTTCACCTAATTTAAACTCTCATCCAGGCCCATTCATTGCATATACAGGCTGATAGTCACAAAATTATATTCAACAAAGATGAATTGAATATATTACATAAATAAGGTAAACAATATTGTAAAGAATATAAAAATATGGTAATTGATGGTGATATAATAATGCTAACATTTGTGGGCTAACCACTTTACATGCACTTTTTCAATAGACTAACTAACCCCTATTATGTAGGACCTACTAGTCTCCAAGTTTTAAAGGTCAATTCACACAAACACAGAGATGTTAAGTGACTTGCCTCAGGTCACACAGCTACTCAGTGGAAGATCCAAGATTTGAATCAAAACAATCTGAATCAAAGCCTAATGCTCTTGACCACTAAACACACTGTCTAATCAATGCAGAAGTTTTTGACCCTTTCAGAAATATAACCCAGAAAGAAATTTATAATCACAGGCACTTAAGTGATAGTTCCTATAAATAGCAGGAACTTAACTTTTTAAAAACACACCTATTCTTATAACAACTTATTATGAAATAGTTTTGAAACAGGAATGAGTATGCTCTTACCAAACTTAGTAGTCATTATAATACTTTTTTTTTTTT